ACAGGCTTGTACACAACTACTTCTACGTCCCAAGGCAAGAAGAAAAAACAATAATACAACTGCTCTATTTATGCACAAATATGGGTACGTTGAAAGTCCCGGCCCGTGGAAAGTGAGAGATGCTTATGAACATAGCAAAAATAAGCGTTCATCTAGGATGAAAAAGTACATCGATCGAGTAATGAGCAACAGCAAACTTTACACAACAACATATCTATATAATTGCGTTTTCACTTGGGGGAGAGGGGGGAGTAGATAAGAGAGGAGGTCGGAAGACAGCAAAATTCAGATCTATTTAGTGCGCCCCAGGTGTCGTGCGCATCCGAAGGCCCGCAAAGATGTGTCCTAAATCCACCATTGCGAACGCAGAATGGGCGAGGAGCCGGTAAACATGTTTGAGGCCGTTTTGAAGAACTTGCCTGACGTTTTCCTGAAGGTTCACTAAAAGAGAGAAGTACCCATATTATTATAACAACTCGGAAGAGTGCGAATCCGTCCCAGAAATTGTCGTTTCTGACGTTAATGGCTCTAGATATGCTCAACTAGAGCAAGTGGACACTACACCGCCATTGGCTCAATATCTGGTTAACCCGCGGATTGCCTATCTCTGCGCGTTGGACATGTTCCCACAGAAATAGTTTTCAACGGTACCTGTACATCTCTATCCACCCCCATGCACACCACTTTAGGACTCTTGACTTGTGCCCGATGATGAGTGAAACCTTTTTCTGGTAACATTAACACTGAACATGTCGATGTCCCATTATGTCGGGAGGTTTGACCTTCGCAAATCTTTTCTCTTCAGACCCAAAAGCTTACTTGTTTCACGGCTAGCCTGTACTGCAGACCGTTTAACTAGCCGCCAACTCCGAGCGAGCCGGATCGCGCATGGCTAGACCAACAGACAGTCTGCATGCTCCCCAGGCTACTGCCACCTCACGGACAGAGGATCAGGTTACATTTGTCCATCCCTAATACGGAGTTTAGAGCGAGACGCACACCCTGAGACTGCATTAAATGAAGCCTTGCTCATGAACAATCTAGGACGACCACGTAAATAAATATAT